AATGTTAACAGCATTATAATACATGCAGAAACGTACATTTTTTTATAGATATTAAAAATTTAGGCTCTATGACTTGTATACTATGTCTATTATAGTCTATAGGATTTCAAATCGATGCATGCATTCAAATTCAAATTAGGTCCACCCACGCCCCACGGCCAGTGTAGCTGTCAGCTCACCTTTCTTCAGAAGTGTGAAAGCTTTTGCCGGTGAAGGTGTGTTTTACGATCGGTCCATAAAAAAGCGTTGATCGGTTCAAAATGACATAAGAACAGGTTCTTTTGAATAACCTATGGATTGGCACCATGGTATGAGCAATGCTCAATGATCAGCACAGACGTAGGCCGTCTGCACATTACAATTGATACCGCCAAACAGGGTAATAAAGTACAATTTTGAGCCTTTTTTGTTGATAATTTCTGACTATGAAATATGTCATAATTGAATTTGAGCTCATTTTAAAGGTCTTTGGCAGGGTTATTGTATCATATCACTGAAAAAATTCCAAATGATATTTGTAAATGTAAGGTGCCAGACGCAAAAGAAGAGCAGCATCCCAAATTACCCCTGGGAAAAAGGTTATTCGGGACACTTGAAACAAAACTTCTAAAACATCTGAAGAATACAGAGTGTACTCATCCATTACTAACAGTACCTACTCTGGAGTCCTTTCCCTTTATAGATGATGTATGTAGTAGATGTAGAATAATTGACATTTTCTGTGATTTGTACATGTTTTTCCTTTATTGATACAATATTACCACATCCATACATTACCATATTATTGATGTGATATTACTGCTTCCATGAACATGCCATTGATCATTTATTACAACATTGTCCACTGCAAGCTTCATATCAGCAGCCATATAGCATTTCTTCTGTATCTGTAAACTTACAGGACAGCTTGTAATTTCATACCATTTTAATTGGGATAAGTGAATTAATTCACTATGACAGAAAAGATTGCAAAAAAAACCTACCCCAGACAGAAAGAAATATTTTAGTGACAACCATCATATTTTTTTGGAGAAATGAATCAAAGTTTAGGTTACTTACTCTTCATTCTATGTTGCCTAGTGCACAATTCTCTCTATGACATTTGATGCACAATTTTGTGATGACTGATGATGCATTAATTTTTTGTTGAGTGAAATTTTTTTTTGCTGAGCAAGGTAGATGTAATCAAAATTTTTTGTTGTTAATTGATTTTTCGGTCAACTGGAGCCTTTGCTAGCTGAGGTTCTACTGTAAATGCGTTTTTAGGGATGTCCTATATTATCCTGTCTTACAGAAATGGCTGCCATTTTTTAATGATTTATGCAAATTCCGTCAATCACGTTTTTAAGCCAACACCTGTGTGCAACTTTTATATAAGTAAAATTTTTTAATACTGCAAATATTTTTATTTTGCTTCAGACCTTAGCAGAGGTAATTTTTCAAAATCTCACTTCTCCCACTTTTTTCAGGGATTTTTAGAGGTAGTAAATGTATGATTTCTTAACTTACTTTATGCTACATAGATAGTAAAAATGTTGAACTTTATGCCACTATTTTTAGTTTTGCAACATTTTGATTAGTTTAGCTGCTACAACATTTCTATGAAATGCGAGATGACTATCTCAATTTACCCGGCCCATCCCTTATTACCCCATTTGACAGTAATTCACTTGACCCAATTAAAATGGTGCAGAATTACAAGCCCAGTCATGCAAGTGTTAGGTACATATAGAATGGAAAAATATAATTTTTGTTGATGAAAAATCTATACAGTAATATCAACAGTAATTGAAAAACAAGTACAAATCACAGCAAACATCATTTATTGTACATCTACATCATCTATAATGGAAGAGAAGGACTTTGGATTACCTACTGTTAGTAATGGATGAGTAAACTCTGCATGCTTCAAACATTTAAAAAAAATTTCACTCCAAGGGTAAAAAAAAAGTTTCACTCCAAGGGTCCCAGATTATCCCATTCCCAGGGTAATTCGGGACGCTTTTTTGCGCATTTTTCATTTATGGATAAAATGCCCTATTCTTGTCATGTCCATCTGTCCGTCTTTCTGTGATTTCACTATTTTTGTAGATTTTGAGAAAATGCGCTCTCTGTCACTCACTGCAGTGAGTACAGTACTGTAAAAGGGGGTTACTTAGACTCCTGGGGTAACTTAGACAACTTCCATTTTTTTAACAAAAACCCCCAAAACTCAAAAACTATTTGACATAAAAAATTTAGTCAATGGGCATTAAAGGCAGTATACTGAGGCTATGTAACACAATAGAAAGATAAACAAATTATGCATATCTAATAGGTTAAAAAATGAAAAATGTGACCCACAAAAAAGAGCTATTATTTAAAGCCTGTTGCAGAACCCCCTCCAATTTTTTTTTTATTTTTTGGTAAAATAACTCCAGGGTTTGGTACATTGTATTAGAACTCTCCTAGTTATATATGCAAATGACAAATTTGAGGAAAGTGTCATAGTTTGCAAATGGGGGGCACTGCCTTAATTAATCAGAAATTAATTTAAAATACACCGGCTTGGAAATTAATTTAGAATTTCCATATATAACATATTTTATGTTTGATACACCTATTAATGTTTTTTATTTATGTTTCAGACTCTACAGAGTCTTATATATTGTAATTTTAACTTAATTTCCAAGCCGGTCAATATTACCCTGTCATGGCTGACATTAGGTGGTCTAAGTTCCCTCATTCAGGGGTGGTGCCCCCATTTGCAAACTATGACACATTCCTCAAATTTGTCATTTGCATATGTAACTAGGAGAGTTATACCGTAAAATGGGGTTACTTTGACCGGCGGGGTAACTTTGACCACTTTTCGTTTTTTTAACAAAAACCCCCAAAACTCAAAAACGATTTGACATAGAAAAATTTTGTCAATGGCCATCAGAGGCCTAATACTGAGGCTATGTAACACAATAAAAAGATTTAAAAAGTTTGCATATCTAATAGGTTAAAGAATTAAAAACGTGACCCACAAAAAAGAGCTATTATTTAAAGCCTGTTGGAGAACCCCCTCCAATTTTTTTATTTTTTTTTTTGGTAAAATAACTCCAGGTTTTTGATTCATTGTAGTAGAACTCTTCTAGTTACATTATGCAAAAGACAAATTTTAGAAAAGTGTCATAGTTTGCAAATGGGAGGCGCCGCCCCGTAATGGGGTAACTTTGACCACCTAATGGCAGCCGTGACGGGGTAAGAGTGACCGGCTTGGAAATTAAGTTAAAATTACCATAGGTACCTATATAACATATTTTATGTTTGATATACCTATTAATGTTTTTTTCTTTGTTTCAGACTCTACACAGTCTTATATATGGTAATTTTAACTTAATTTCCAAACCGGTCTATGTTACCCCGTCACGGCTGCCATTAGGTGGTCACATTTTGCCCATTTGGTGGTGGCGCCCCCCATTTGCAAACTATGACACTTTCCTAAAATCTGTCTTTTGTATATGTAACTAGAAGAGTTCTACTACAATGCACCACAACCTGGAGTTATTTGGAGTTATTTTTCTAAAAAATAAAATTGATTTTACCACCTGGTCAAAGAAACTCCAAGAGCTGGGGTAACAAAGACCATCACTTTTTTCTAAATTACATCAAAACTATGAGAGGCAGGAGCCAGCAATTTATGGTGAGTAAAGCTAGAGTATAGACCTGTATTTTGCATGTTTCAATTCAAGTTTAATTTAGCTAGTAAAAAAATGGCATCATTTATAAAAAAAATGGTCTAAGTTACCCCATTTTACGGTACTGAGTTATATTTTTTTCTTCTGGCACCTTGCAAATCGCACATGGAATTTTTTTGGAGATGACAAATGATAGCCATTGCAAACCCATTTGAATGAGCCCAAACTTGTTTATGAAATGTTTCATGGTAAGAAGAAAATGTCCCTTATTACCCCATTTGATGGTACATAAAAGTTGCACTCAGCTGCTGGAAGAAGTAAAAAAACAGTAATATGATATGCTTGTACTAAATCATTAATACTTATTACAAGCCAACAATAGATTATCTACTAGCCTGTCAAGGCAGTTGTGCAATTAGAAACGTTGAATACTGAACATTTAATACCAAACATTTAATACTGAAAATTTATAATTTCTTGAGTATGGATTACAATGTATTTATGGAGCAAGGACCCAACGCACAGCATTTCCTGTAAATTATGTGACTATATTTTATGATTCTTGTTACAAGGAATTGTTCTTGAAATAAAAGGGTTATGCAATAATGTCAGAGTACCAGCTTAAAGGTTATTAGAAAGCCTGGTGCTTGTCCAAACCCTTTCATTATTCAGCACACTGCATTTGGCAATGAATGGGCTTGCAAGATATTCTCATCAGCAATGCCTCAAAATGCTATTCAAACACAACACAAGCTCTACTTCTTTCAGCTTTGGAAGACAAAAAAAAAAAGTTATCAAATAACTGAATGGGTAGCATAATAATTGTGATAAAGACGCATTCCAGTTGAGCTTTTCCCCTAGCTGTGCTTTCAGATAATTATTTTTTAATTGTAGGTAAATCCAGAAATTAGTAACTAGTCATACAATAATTTTCTGCCTAAATACTAGATTTGTGCAATAAGTAGAGATGTTTTTGTAATAGATGTATAAAGTGACTAAATATGTTGTATGCGCATCTCCAGTGCTTAGTGGCGACTGAAAGATTATTTGAAAAAAATGTACCTACTCCTTATTATGATTTCATGAAATTGAGTTTGTGTACCTACCTTAACACCTAAATTTTTGTTCAAACATGAACAAGTACGGAATCCAATTTATCTGGGAGTGATCTCTTTGTTCTTTTATCTATTTATCTTTAACCTAGTATAAAGACATTGAATTGTATTCAATCAAAATTTGAAATTACCTTTTTCATTTGTGAAAACCTGTTGTCTTACAAGGTTATCCTAGTGGAACATTTAACCCTCATAAGTACATGTTTAAACCCTGCATTTGCATACCTACTTTAGTAATTTCAGCAAAATTGACGACTATCATTATGATTTCCTCTGGCAGATGGTGTCGGCGCAGAGCTTGAAGCGGCCGGACGGGTGGTGGCAATGCGTGAACCCCGACGGTTCAGTGACGCCTGTGGAACACACCCCAGTCGCGCGTGAGTTCAGGGCGGCCGGGGTGCGGACCGTCAGCGACGTGTTGAGATACTCGGCTCAAAAATACCATACCAAAGAATGCCTTGGAACACGGCAAGTCATTTTACGTCACATGGTCCAAATAGAAGGCAAAACCGTGGAAAAACTTGAACTTGGAGACTATGAATGGCTATCGTACCAGCGTGTGTATGAAACTTCTCAAGCGGTGGGCCTCGGTCTTCGGGACATGGGGTATAAGCATGGCGATCGCATTGCTTTGTTTGCAGAGACCAGAGCTGATTGGCTAATTGCAGCGGCTGGTATTTTGCAGCACAGAGTGGCAGTTTGTACGGTTTATACGACGCTCAGTGACTCGGGCGTTGTTCACGCTCTCACCGAGACCGAAGTGCCGCTCATCTTCACAACTTACGAACTTCTACCTCGAGTCATAAAAGTCTTGCCTCAGTGTCCTAAAATCAGGACCATCGTGGTTATGGAAGATCAGATTGAAGGTGTGGGTGACGTAACGGAGATTCCCAGTCAAGTGGAAGTGATACCTTTCAAGACTTTGGTGAAGCGAGGATTCCTGAGCCATCGTGAAGAAGTGCCTGTTCCAAAGGTTGATGACACGGCCATCATCATGTACACAAGTGGGTCTACGGGGGTTCCCAAAGGCGTCGAGTTGTCCCATGCGAATATCATTGCTTTCGTTACTGCTTATTTTTGCCGCATACCTGCTTCTTCCAAGTCACGTTACCTGGCTTTCTTGCCCTTGGCGCACATCTTGGAACTAGTCACTGAGCTCGCCTTGCTGACTCGAGGTATTCAGATCTTCTACTCGTCCCCTGCCACCTTGACCTCGTCGTCGCTCAAAGTTCTGGCGGGCACGGATGGCGATGCCAGAGTCGCGAAACCCACCGTTATGACCTGCGTGCCTCTCGTTTTGGACAAAGTTATCAAGAGTGTTACCCAGAAGGTTGAACAACAAGGATGGCTTAAGAGCCTCGTATTCAAGAAACTGGTACATTACAAGTCCATTTTCGACTACATTCCTTTCACTTCCAGTGTCCTGGACTTGCTTGTGTTTCGAAAGATCAAAGTCGAGCTGGGCGGTGAACTTAAGACCCTCGTAGTCGGTGGGGCTCCACTCTCCATACAAACTCAGGAACTTTTTGAGACGATGTTTGGTTGCGATATCCAGGTTGGGTACGGATCAACCGAGACGTCAGCTTGCGTATCTGTCATGCGCTCTGGTGACACCAGGCTTGGCCATACAGGCCCTCCGAACGACGGTGTCCTGCTGAAGCTCCGTGACTGGGAAGAAGGTGGCTACAGAGTTACGGACAAGCCCAACCCTCGCGGCGAAGTTGTCATTGGTGGGCCTAGTGTAGCCAAAGGATACTACAATCGTCCCGAGGAGACAGCGGCCGCCTTCTACGAGGAAAACGGCGTTCGTTGCTTTTGCACAGGTGACATTGGGGAAATAGACGAGTACGGCTGCCTGAAGATTATCGACCGTCTCAAAGACCTTGTGAAAATGAAGCACGGAGAGTACATTTCTCTGGGATCGGTTGAATCCGTGATGAAAACCATGCCCCTTGTAGAAAACATCTGTGTTTTTGCTGAGGTTTTGCCTGATTTTGTTGTAGCGGTGGTGGTTCCGGTTCCTGAAGTCTTGCTAAAGATTGGCAAGGAAGAGCCTGCCACTGCTCTGACCAACCCTGAGTTGGACAACATGGCTCACTTGTACACCAACCGCCATATCAACAAAGTCGTGCTCAACCTCATACACGAGCATGGCCGAAGCTGCGATCTGAACAAGTGGGAGCTTCCGGCGGCCGTTTACCTCACCCGCGATGTGTGGGACCCTGAGTCAGGTCTGGTCACGGCGGCACTCAAGCTTCGCAGGAAGCAGCTCATGCATCGATATGCAGTTCAAATTAAATCCATGTACGAAGCCCTTAAGAATTCGAAGTAAAATTTCATCGTTCGTACATAAACGGTCGAAGTTATTGAAAACAAGTTTTCAGAACCGTTAAATCAAGATATATTGACAGGTCTTCAGACGGATTTTGAAATAAGTCAACTATACAAGCTAATATAAGAAAATACATTGAATTTATTCTGAAATATATTTTTATGCCTCTAATCATGTTCCAGTTCCACAGGAGCTCTCGTCGGTAATCATTTTACAGTGATTTTCTGAAATATTTGACATTATTTCCTACGGTTCGCCAGTTTAGAGAGGAATTAGTCGAATGGACCAGATGAATAATTAATCTACGCAACTCTTTATGTAGTAGGTAATGCCTATGCCTTCATTCTACGATGTTTGCCGATGTTTTGTTTTGAGTGTAACTAAGCCTAACTAAAATGCTTTAATCTGCAGTTTGGTTTGACGCACGGACGCTTTTTAGCATCCGTCAGTTATTTTTCTTATTAATTCTACAGTTGAAAAAAGTTTGATTTTGTTGTTAGTCTATAATGAAGAGTTGATGTTGACATTTGAAGCTTTGACGGCTTGGAGTAGACACAAACTGGCTCCATCAGTTTAAAGTCGAGAAAAGCATGCCTTCATGGATAATCAAAATGATGCTGCTGTCTTTATTTTCGATATTTTGTTCTGTTCAGTAGATGGATTTATTTGATATTTTGTTCAGTAAATGGATTTAAAAGTTTGCTTTCGCTTTCCGTTGCGTAATATAAATTTGATGTGAAGCTCCCAATTGTTTTTAATAAGTATAAACTTATACTCTCATTTACAATGAACCTATGTAAGCTGCAAAATGGTGCTAGTTTTCATAATGCAATCTTCAGTTTTGCATGTTTTCAGATCTTACGTTATATGTCGAGAAAAAGATTTGGTTCAAGTAAGCTATTTTATTAACTGATCTTTCGTCTATTTCAAATACAATTCTTCTGCTTAAGATCTCCTGGCGTTGGTCAATTTCAATTCAAATTCTCCTGCATAATATCTCTTGGATTTTGGTTGGTTGACTTCAGATGAGACTTATTTTAATGAAGAAAATCGTCCAGACGCAACCAAAGATTTGTGGTTCTCTCCTGATGAGCTGACGTAGGTTACGTTACCCTTAACGTTATTTATGATGAGCCTTCTGTTAAATCCTTCCTGGTTGGGGATTGATTGAAAAAATTCAATTCACGCAAATATTAAGACAGTGGGAAACCGTGGTTTTCACAATGAGAAGGAGCCTTTAGTTGCTGTTGGGGCTGTAAGGTCCGCAGCTCGCAGTGTTGAAGATGATGTTGCTGGGTCGGTTCAGGTCTGAGCTTCATTGATGGCCTTGCGTGGCAGCAAGTGACACAGCGACGTGCGATCGTGGCAATTTATTACATTTTCTGATGCATAGCCACAAATCGCTATTTTGAAAATGAATCGTTTCGGACGCGGTTAAACTTTTGGGTTATATTTCAAATTTGCCTTAAAATTGATAAATTTATTTAATACTTTAACTCAGCAGGGCACATATCTCACAATCTCTGTACTCTATCATCATCTTTCTTGAGAAAAGTGACACAGAAAATGAACTCGATTTTGCGCTCGAGTTCATTATATAGTTACAGATGTTCTCTTGTCTGTGTTCATTACGACCTGTTATTTATCGGAGAACTACATATACTTTGGATTTAAGGAAGATATAACACAGCACCGTTTGTGCACTGCCTTTTTGTGTTTACTGTATTGTTGGCTTCCTTGTTGGCAAAGATTGTCGCGCTTGTATTTTTAGTCTTAAGAATACCGTCAAATCTTTTGATGTTTTAATTAGATTATAATGTAATAAATGCCGAATTTATCCTTTAGTTCACCTAAGCATAATACTTGCTTTCTTTAATCTCTAGGTTGAATTGAAATCGATTTGTATTTTTTCTATGATTTAGATTTTTCTGATTGGATCTCAATATTTATGACTTCATTTATAACCGAGCGCCTTGACGCGACGTAAGCGCGTTAACACTTATACATTCATGTCTAATGCACTGTTGCTTCGCAGTTCGTGCTTGATTTAGCTTGTGAGGAGGTAGTATGGAGCATAATAGTGAAAATATAGTACGTTGGATTTTCATGAGGGATAGTACGGTGGATTTTTAAAGGGATAGTACGTTGTTTTTATGAGGCTTAGTACTTCGGGTAATATTGAGGGGTGGTTTGTCAGATAATTATGAAGTATTATTGTACGTCGGGTAATTATGATGGGAAGAATGTTGGATAATCGTGATGGATAGAATGTTGGATAATCATGATTGATAGAATGTTGGGTAATCGTAATGGATAGAATGTTGGATAATCATGATGGATAGAATGTTGGATAATCATGATAGATAGAATGTTGGGTAATCGTAATGGATAGAATGTTGGATAATCATGATTGATAGTTGAATTATCATGATGGATAGAATGTTGGATAATCATGATGGATAGAATGTTGGATTATTATGAGGGGACACTACGTAAGGTAATTAGAAGGACCAAGGAGGCAGGACGTAGGATTATTATCAGTGAAGTTCTGCATCTCTTCACCACAAACGCGACCGTCAGTTTCGATAATATTGATTGGTTCCCACGAATTATATTGGTGCTTAGAGCATTTTTGTTTCTTTACTCGCAAGTTATCTGCAGTTGGATCCCTTTTGTCCTATACAACAAATACTTGCAGTAAATACTATTCCCCTACTTAAAAGCTAAACGCGGTCTATTGACATGAACTCGGGACTTGAATAATCTCGGCCGGCCATCGCAACGCAGGCTTCGGCGTCCGTAAATTCGCCAAAATGTGTTGGAACTAAATTTGGGGAGGTTAATAAATTTAATACATGATTGTTTTTAAGGTGCAGTTGAGAAAAATTCCATTAATTTCATGGTCTTCTTGCGTTGAATATGTGACCACAATAATATTTGTTCGTTTCTATATTTCATCACGAATCTGATCAAGATCCAACCATAAAATGTTAGATTTATTTGGTCTTAGGATTGATGATCTAAACGCTTCGTGTCTTGAGCGATTGATGTTGACACGCGAATTTTGGGCGAGTTTATATGTAACGTGTCCTCGAAAGAAACGTGTCGATATATTATATATAATATATATATGTGACGTCAACATGTATATATAATAAACGTATATATGTGACGCATCGCTGGGCGCGCACGAGTAACACATGCCAAAATAGGAGCGTCGGTAGTGCGATGTGATCGTCCAGTAGCCACGCGATCAAAGCGAGATCATTCCTGTAGAATATTTGTGTTTTCTAGTCTTATTCACGTGTCTTGATTATCTAGACTAGGGTGTTAATTAGCTAAATGTCCCTACAGGATTTGGAGAAATTAAAAAAATTATGAAGTAATGCTTAAATTTACGAATCTCAACGTCTCATTCCATGCAGGCTTATTCGTAGATCTGTGTGCGTGTAACTTATCCCTTTGATCTGCTACGAATGCGGCCCAGCCACCATTCATTACAGCGACATGTGATTTGATTGGCTATGAAAACAATCGAAAACGTCGTCCTCCTAAACAATCGAGAATGATTACTAGCAATAAATTTGTAGTTTGAAACAACTTATTTGAACTTGATTAATTCACCTATCCGATATTTTCGATGAAGAAGAGAATAGAAAATAGATGATGGTTCCACTGCGATTTAGTAGCCATGGTTAGCCGCAACTTTCACAAAAATCTATCCTCTCAGGATAAATATCATCTTCAGGGATGAGTTTCACCACTGAATTAGTATTTGCTTGATCTGCCTTTATGCAATAGTGCTATCGTACCTACCGTAATAAATGTTTTAAATGCAGGGTGCCGACGATTTCTAGGGAAATTACCCGCATTTTCTGTGCCTTACTGTGAAACATTGAATGATCCCCCTATTTGTGATGAGTGTTTTTTATAGTTTTGAGGTCTGGCATGTATCAGGGTTCCCTGGATTACCCGCCCAAATTTCTTCTAGAGCCGATGTTTGTTCATATCTGTACCTGTTATCCTGTTGATGTTAGTTTTATGCAAGTGTTGTTCACGATGCAAAATGTGTTGCACAATTATCTCACGACGCACGAAAGACGTGTTCTTGCTCACATTTCTCATGAACATCGCTGTGTAAAATTGTGTTCTCCTTTCAAGATTTTCGGTTTTATGGATGAAGATATTTGCAATGTTGATGCTTTTGTTTACCTCTCCTCTTCTCAACGAAAGTCTCCGCGTGATTTTTTTTTTGTGAAAGAAGAGTGACCATCACACGGTTAGCGCAGGAGCTGGACCTATTCGTACAGCGTATTAATAACTTAGTCTCAACAATTAATCTTGAGCGCACCCTATGGACGGCGCAAAAGTGTTAGATAGCCGGACCGGTCTGTGTAAATTAAATTCTCTATTTTTATCTCTTCTCATGAACCCTGAAACTGGCAGTGAAACTTGGCTACCATGACATGATAGACATAATTTTCTTTCTTAAAAATACGAATATCCGAGCAATCGACCGGTCGCTGGATTAGATATAAGATCACAATTTCGTTTTGAAATACGAATTGCTACTGTTCAATGTTCGTCTAGTTAGCATTGCAGTCGTTAAAATCCGTTCAGACACGAACGTTGGAAATTTCACTTCAGGTTGAAATATTTTCATCTATAAATCTCATTAATCAACTGATCTCGAAGGGTTGTTAAATTGCTACCGAGGAATTTATAAGATCACGATTGCTAATTTTACCGTAAAGTAAAAGTTAATAAACGTGTCTGCATTGAAATAAACTGCAAAAGCTTGTACCTCAGAGAAGGCTTAAAAGGATTATGGAAGTCTTTGAAAATAGAGGGAAACGTACTCCACTGGATCAGAGATTTTCTAGTACATAGACGCGGTAGAACGGACGAGATAAAGCTGCGGAAAAATGTCATATGTTCAGACTTGAAATGCCTAGCACCATATCGAACCCGGTGGGAGTCTATTAGCTATTTCAAACTATTGTCAGTTTGGAAAAGATCCGTTCGAAGGACCTGTTTTTAGATCTCCTGTGGACAAGTCAAGAAGAGTACAAGAATCGGCGAAAGGCCACATATCAGGCCTATTCTTCAGCTCCGACATAATGATATGATATGAACATTTGGTCAGTGTATTAGGCCTACTCTAATGAGAACGCGACGTACGGAAAACCCGCATAGGTTGTACATTTGAAAGTATATTGTCATCACAGTATTAGTTAAGCTTGTGAGAAAAGCCAAAATGAGTGTGTGTCACTGTGTCTGTTTAATATAGATGGAGTTTGGTTCGTTCAGTACACGTTAATTCTGTACGAAATTTATCCATACCGATTTTTTAAGATCGCGCATTTCTCATCCTTCATTCCATTTATCTTAGGAAGACACATCTTTGTATATGTTCCTGTATACTTTGCGCTGTAAGGAAGTTAGTATGAAGTTTATTCAACAAGACGAGCCTGGAGATATAACGGCGTGTCTCTCGTGGGGCCTCAAGTGGAGCAGCTTACAGGATCGTAGTCTTATTCACTGCAGCTGAACGCGCGAACATCGCGTCGTGTTCACTGCGGTTGAAAGCCTGAACATCACGTCGTGTTCACTGCAGCTGAACGCCTGAACATTACGTCGTGTTCACTGCAGCTGAATGCGTGAACATTACGTCGTGTTCAATGCAGCTGAACGCCTGAACATTACGTCGTGTTCACTGCATCTGAACGCCTGAACATCACGTCTTGTTCACTGCAGCTGAACGCCTGAACATCGCGCCGTGTTCACTGCAGCTTAACACGTGAATATCGCTTAATATTCACTGCATGTAAGCTCGGGGGCACCGCGTCGCCTGCGGCATTTCAAACTTAACAAGGTCGAGAGTAGGAATTTGTGTTTGTCATTCACCCAAGCTATCGCTGACCTAAAAACTCATTATGTCTGTTCATGTAATGCCCTGTGCTGTAACCATTGGCTCTCAGGTCACGGGCAACGACTATTTTTACCTATTTTTTTCTGGTGATTGTTTAGTAAAACGTTTCTTGATCCTATTATCTCGTGCTACAACAAGCAGGCTTACACATTACTTAGAAGTTTTTTCTCTCAGAGTTTATTCGCTATAAGATAGCAGCATACTTAAAAAAATGGCTCAAACGCTACTATAAGATAAGAATATGTCTTATATAAGCTCGCACGGAATATGGAGTATCAAGAATTAACTCGTGTTTATTCGCCCTCGATTTATTAGGTTTTTTCTTGAGCTTGTATTCCTGCTGATTTCTTGAACTACACGTTCGAAATTCTTATCTATGCTTTAATGATCATAAATCAAGAAAAATGCTTCGCTCGCTTCACGTTTCTGTTATTTAAAGTTAAGCCTAAACTTGAAGCTTTCACATTAATTCGAGCTTGCGCTCACTGAGAAAGAGTTAACTAAATGGCTGGCAGTGTTGATCGACTTGCTCTCATGTCTTGACATGATTTTGTTCAATTAATGTAGCGCTGTTCGTGCGAGGTGGGCTGAAAAATATTTAATTTCTTTCATAATACTCCGTAATTCATTTCTCAGTTCGGCCACGCAAGACAGCAGCTCGTCCTGGACCCGAAACCGACCCCCGCTCCTGTAATTACTGCTGGGCTACTGGATTGAGGCGGAAAATCTCGTTCACCGAGGGAAAATTTTTCCAAGTAATGCTGGACTGATATTAAAAAATTGTATGAGAAATTTAATCAAGGCTGACCCTAAAATTTGACCCTTTTATATATTTTGGCATTAAGTAAAATTTAAATTCAATCTCACCATGTAATTTAGTGATCATTATATTCAATGAAACGGAATAGGAAGGATGAAGAATAGAATTGTTCGAGTAAGATTAGAAGAGAACTAAACATAGAAAAATACCTATAGACAATGAAAAGCCTTTCAATTAATATGAGCAAGTGAAAAATACGCACAATTGCTACAAAGGAAAATCGGCCCATTCGGAAACATTATTGAACTCAAGCTATTTCTTGACTGGAAAAAATATTTCTAGCTTTAATAAGAGTGGAGTGAACACTAGTCCAAGACTTCGTCTGCTCGTTGTGGAGAAGTTCATTGCCGAATCAGTGGAGGGGCAAACGAGCTTAGAGGATAAAGGAATTGCTCCTCACTTTTAATTTGGATCACTTTAGGACTGTTTGTCAAAGACAGTCTTTAGGACTGTTCGTCAAAGATAGTCTTTAGGACTTTAGGACTGTTTGTGCGTTGCGATGGCTCACCCATAGTCTCGACGAGGCTTCCTCAAATCTTCTTTGCAGAACTTAACTGGAATTTTTTCTCATTAAATATTTTCTTATGTTGTTTTTCTCCTATGATTTAAGGTGTTTTCGAGGATCCGGCAGATGAGTTTACAATTTTTTATGATTCAATTTTTTTGCCTCAAAATGTAGGGTTAGTAGGAATGTTTTTGAGCTCGCAATGCACTTTCATCGAGGCACTTACAACGACGCGCAAATCTGTTTAAAACATAAAATTAACTGTGAAAACTGAATTTGTCTTGTTTTCGTTATTGATAGTGAACCGCTAAAAAATCATAAGAAAATATTAAATGAATAGTAAGAAAAGATCGTAGTATAAATGTTGTGTAGCATAAATGGTCGCACGTAGTATATAAAGTTTACTCATTCGAGAAGTACCGTACGTGTCCACTTCAAAATGCACAAAGACATTTTATTTACATGAATTTGATATTCTCTCTTATATGTTTTTTATGATAGAAATTTACCCTGCCAACAGGTTACAATTGTCTTTATATTAATTTTACAAGTAAACAGAGGTCTGAACAATAATTATTTCATTTGAGGCTATAACATAGCCGCCTTAGCGAACGCTACGAAGGAATTCATTAGCCATCAAAACATTTTCTTCATTTGATTACTGACAAACTGGTCATGGATGAAGAATATTATTCTAGAATATCCCATGGCTTCAACCTGCCTATAAATTCATAAGCAACTTATATAAATCGTCAGTAACAAATATTTTACAGCATTGAAAACGACGTCCCTTTAAAGATTATTTGTATAATGGACTGACTATCTGGAAAGCGAAGAAAAGCTTGGCGAATTTCGAATCAGGGAAGGATTCAAGAGTACAGGTCAAAAATAACAACATGAATGCAATGAAAAGACCGTATTTTGTGCTAACCGGGATCTCTGATGAACAATTTAAAGCCGCATTACTGAAGCATAGCTACGACATCTCCCGCTTGAATTGGGTAAAAAAATGTGGGCATGAATACTAAAATTTCACTACCAAGTACTAAATTCAGGTGGGACCAATGTAATATGGTCACCAGTAACTATGTCAAACCGGACCGAAGGTTAGGCAGAACCGAAATGTCATAATCTCAGGCAGAACATAAGTACTGCCAGACGAACCCAGGTCCGTGTGAACCGAATAAGATCCCATTGAAGCATTTAATTTTTTATTTGGTAACGAGGTTTTGACAAGATAATTTTTTACTAAAATTTTAATAAAATACTTGCTTCGATGCCAAAATAATAAAAATGTGATACTCATATGAAGTATTAATCAAAACATAGCATTGTTATTATATAAGTTTTTTTAATTAATAATCAATGAAATTAAGTGAAGCAAAGCATCGGAAGTTATTATTAATCACTTACGCTTATTTCAAGCTGCTATGATATTGTTTCTGTTATACCTGTTCTAAAAAATACCTGTTCTGTTATACCTGTTCTTAAATAAAACAATTCTGTTCTTCGTACTGCCCACATTCAAAATTTTAAATACTTGTGAGATGTGTACTTGTCCAGTTTGTGTACGGAGTAACTTCTAGTACTTCCGTGGATGTTAATTGGCCTCATCGAAAACATACATTATTACTTAATTTTTATTTTAATTTTAATTTTAGGTACTATGAGTCAATAGACTTTCATGATCTGTGTAACCATGGTAATAAGTAGCGTGACACCGGACAGCCACGGTAGCACGCACTGAGCTGTCGCTGAGAAGTTACTGCGCTAGACAAGATCATGGAATAATATAATAATAATAATATCACTTAAGCCACTTCGGGAAGACGCAGTAATAACTTGGCCAATCTGCCCACAAGATACAGCTATATTCAATGCTTTGCAGCTGCATTAACCTAGCTTTGAGTTCCCCTAAAAGCTGCCGCAAAGAAAAACAACC